AAAAAAAAAAAAAAAAAAAAAAAAAAAAAAAAAAAAAAAAATTTGGGGTTTTAAGTGAAAAAGGGGGGGGGGGGGGGAGGGTTCTTTTTTGAACTCACCCTGAGAAATTTTATTTTTATGTTTCCAGTTCTTTTAGATCAGCCTGAGATATGGGGTCCAGGCCAACCAATTAATCCAAGCCTGGAGTCGCCAAAGTTAACAAGGCCTTTTCCCACTGGAAGTAAGTTATGTGTCTGCTCTGTCTGGAAAAATAAGTGACTCATTTTACCGTCTGTCTGCACAATGAAATTAGGTAACTCTTAGAAAGTCTACGTAAGCAACACTTGAACTGTATAATATTAAGAAGAGATGTTATTCTAACAGGCTTCAAAGGGGACAGGACAGATTGTCAAGATAGGAGTAAAATAAGAAAATAAAGTAAAATGGAAATTAACCTTGAACCATAGCCTCTTCCAATATCCCACGTGCTCACTCATTCATTCATTCATTCAATATGTATGTGTAAGAGTGAGAAGCAAGTGAGCTAGAGGACGCACAGAGCCCAGTTCTAGGCACTGGGTTATCACATAACACAGAGGTGAGTGAGCAAGTCATATACGCTCTCTGCTAGTGCTCCAGAACAACTAAGGCTGCATAGGACAGAAAGGACACATTGAGAGGAAAGAGTGTCAACTGGAGAGCAAGAGAAATGAGTCTATATGGTACAGAGAAGCTGAGACAGAGACCAGGGCAAATTTATGTCAAAGCAGCTATCAGCTCTGCTTATTTCAGCATGCCCCGCCCATCCCCACCCACCTGTAGATGACTGGGAAGGAGATCCTGAAAATCTTCATAGCTCTTCACCTTCTGTGGGTTGGACTATTTGGACTAAATGGATTGCTCATTTAGTCAAGACACCTGCTTGATGGATTTATTGAATTCTCCTTTCGGTAGGCTGCCTACACCAAGCATGCATATGGGAGGCACTCCTTAAAATACCCATGGAAGGATTGAATGTGAGAAAAAGGTTTGGGGGGAGCGGGAATATGTAGGGTAATTTTACTCCTTGAGGCTCACATGGCAGACCAACTAAGACTTTTTCCATTTCAGCATCCCCAGGGCTCTGCTTTTGAGTGCCTAAAAATGGTAATAGGGATTAACCAAGGGGATTCATAATCAAAGGCTATGAGATAATTTGTTGGGAATATTATCACTATAAATCCATGTGATCCAGCCTTTCCAAGAATTTTTTCCTCAGTAAAACAGGATAGGAAAAACAGCATCATCAATGACTTTTTTTAAACTTCTGAGCTTTGAAAAATGTATTTTGAAAGGATTCGAACCACAGTGGTGTGATTTTGAATCTTTCTCCATGAAACCAGTGAAAAAGTTCTAACCTCCTTGAAAAGCCTTTTTTGCAAATCTAAACTATCCAGATCCTTAATCAGGAGCAGAGCCCCTGACTGATTCTTATCTTCTGTATGGAAATATTATCCACTTGATGTGTAGTTTTTAGAAGCTCATAACTGAGATTAAGAACCACATATTCCCAGGTTTTAGGATTAGAGCTGTTATTCATGCTTATTGTATGGAAGAACAGGATGCTGTCTAAAAATAAATAAATAAAGTGGGGCGGAGGACATGGGGGAGGAAGGAATGAAAGAAAGAGGCTCTTCCTAAAGTATGTAGGTAGAGGGTACTGGCAAGATCTCTCCAGCTACATGCCCACCTGATTCACTCTACTTTTAGATTATGAAGGATTGGATCACATTCAGGTTCACAACTGAAGTTTGGGATGGTTTATAAAATTAGTGTGAACACTTTGAATCTACCAAATATGGTCAGTGACAAGAAAACATATATTTACAGAAAGAAGGAAAAAAATGTACATGTTGAAACAGTAATTTCTAAGTTTGCCCACATAGTGACAAGCCATCTCTTGGTAGGGGCTATAATACTATATTTATATCCCAGGATTTTGTTTGACTCTAATTTCTACCAAACGAATCTGTTCATTCTTCCTTGATTCAAGTCATTTTGTTTCCCACTTTCAAAAATAAACTAAAATTTAAGACATATAACTTTGAGAAATCTTTCCAGACTCAATTCAAACAATATTATCCTGACTAGATTAACAACCCCTCACCCAACCAACCACTTATCATGTCCATTATCACACCCTGCATTATAATTGTCTGTTAACTTGATATTCATTTATTTAGTCCTAAATTCTTTGAGGGCAGAGGCTGTTTTTATTCAACCCTATATCCTAGTTCCTAGTTGGGATTTAGTTGACACTTGAGGTCTGTTGACTAATATTTGAATGAATAAAATGGGGGGCATTATTGTTTTTATCTGACATTCTTTTGACAAACTCTTATTTTCATAAAATGGAAGAATCTAAATGGGTCCTGCTTCGGTCCTTTGGCTGCTTTGAACTTAACAATATTTAAACCATTGTGGCTATTCCATTTCCAATAGCAGGTATATGAATGAAAGCCCAAATACTGCTTACCTACAGTTTATTGTGTGACTTAGGAAGAACGTGATCAACAATGTTGACTTCTCATCTCTGCAGCACCTCCACCACTGCCTCCAAAAAATGTACCAGCCACCCCACCCCGAACAGGCTCCCCCTTAACAGTTGGACCAGGTAAGACCTAGTTTTTCTGTTCTGGGATGATGTGGTGAACACAGCAGTGGCCCCGGACCTCAACATGCCCTTCATGTGTTGAAAACTGTAGGCTACACTAAAACATCACAATGTTGGTATTTCATTTTATTTCCATTATGATTTATTGTGCAGACATATTTTAAAGCACCACTCCCAGGTTTCACACACACGAAAATAATTTCAATTAATTTTTCTTTGAAATAATTTTGTTGAATGAGGGCCACATTTGCTTGTAAAATGAAAGAAAAAAATCTCAATATGAAAACTGATTAATTGACCACTCAGTTGTATTTTTCCAAGAATCAGTGGAACTTGTGCTAGAACTAAAACTGTGTAGTCTATGAAGACATAAAATGGCTCCCATGTTGTTCAGCATTTTAATGGTGGGGAATTTTTTTTTTTCCAGTAGTCATTCAGGTATTTATTATCCCATGGCAAAGAGATGTGTAAAGATTATGAAATATGGTAAAACGTTGCCACATGCCTTTAGACAGATAATTCCTAAGGCACATCTTTACCTTTTATTAGAATCAATAGTACAGATTCATATAATATATAATCTGCCAAATCTTATTTGACTAGCAAATCCAAAGTAGTAATAGTCATTTCATGTGTCTGGGCCCTTAGAATGTGGTTTCTTGATCACCTTTGGAATTTTATGGCAGCAGCATCCTGTGCTATTTATGCAGCCTGATGAGTTTGCTAGGTACAGAGCAGGGTATTCATCAACAAAAGTGAAAGCAAGACATAGTCGTTTATGAAATTTATATGGACTCAAACCCAGTAGAGAGTCATCCAGAGTCTCATAAGTAAAGGTGTTTGCAAGTGCAAGCCATTTTGGCCCCTTGTATTTCCATAAATTATGTTAGCTATAAATAAACCTACCAGTGACAAAATTATAAATACTGTGGGTCTTGCAAAATGCCACCACATTTTATCTGTAGCCTTGGAGCCTTGAAAGTTAATTCCTTTCAAACTAGAAATATGGAAATACTAAGCCAGTTCTGATAGCCCAAGAGTTATTTGAAGGTAAAGTGGCTTCTGCTCATACCTTGCAGTTATTTAGGTAACAATTTCTAATTTAAATAGCCTTAGTGTAAAAAATGTACAGCTTCTCAGTTTTAATTTTTTTAAATTCCTCAGTTTTAATTTTTTCTCTTATTGATATAAATTAAAAGGAATAGCTGATGCCAATGGTTAAGCAAAACAGACTTTTCTGTATTATGACTTCAGATAGATATATATCGCAGTTATGCCTATATGATGTTAACAAGTTAGACTTGATGAGAAAAGAAATCATAAAGATGGTTTTTTTTATATTTTCTTTCCTATTAAACAGGTATATATGTAACAGTTCTAATAGGCAGCAAACACCTTCTCAATAACCTACATGTGTGTTGTGTGTGGGGTATGTTTGTGTGTGTTTGTAAATATCTGTGTGGGCATATTTCTTTTAAATAATCGTTGTACTGTGTTTCTGGTATATTTAAGGTAGATGATATACTCGTACAGTTAAATATAATTTCATCATTTTTAAACTAATTATAACTAGTTTCACCAAACATTTTCGTTTAATATACCAGAGTAGACAATCTTTACAAAATGAGGGTGATTTCAGTTATCAATTATTTTTATATTGTGTTGTGTGTATTTCAGTAGGCCAGACTTTCAAAAGTGACCTCCCTTTTGGAATTTGCAGTTCCAGAGCCTGTACTTCTCTGTGAACCTAACCCTGCCTTCTCAAAATGATCACACTTGATATACTTGTTAGCAGCCTGTGAATGCAGTGTCATGCTCAGCATGTTAAATGATGGTAACAGGAGCTGACAGCAGTCCCCTGGCAAAAGAGTCAACAATAGCATAGAAAGATGATGCTTTCTTCACCGAGGTGGGGACCGCTCCCCTCACCTTCAGCTCCTCATCCAATAAAGATATTTTTACACCATGAAATATGCCCACTGAGACACCTCACAAGGCAGTATATCTACCAGGCTTTGCCTCACCCCCCCACCCCCTCACACAAATAATATTAACAAAATCAACTAAAGTTTAAAACCAACTACTTTAACCACAGGAAATGACCAGTCAGCCACAGAGGTCAAAATTGAAAAACTACCATCAATCAATGACTTGGACAGCATTTTTGGCCCAGTGCTGTCCCCCAAGTCTGTTGCTGTTAATGCTGAAGAAAAGTGGGTCCATTTTTCTGATACGTCCCCGGAACATGTTACTCCAGAGTTGACTCCAAGGGAAAAGGTGGTGTCCCCACCAGCTGCATCAGACAACACAGCTGAGTCCCCAGCTCCAGGTCTTCCTGGCCCCCTGGTCCCCTTGGGCCCCCCAGGGCCTCCAGGGCCTCCTCGCAATGTACCATCTCCGCTCAAGTTAGAAGAAGTCCAGAAGAAAGTCGCTGAGCAGAACTTCATTAAAGATGATTACTTAGAAACAATCTCATCTCCTAAAGATTTTGGGTTGGGACAGAGAGCAACTCCACCTCCCCCACCACCACCTACCTACAGGACTGTGGTTTCGTCCCCTGGACCTGGCTCGGGCAGTGGTACGGGGACCACCAGTGGTACGTGTTATTGTTTCAGTGTGCTTCGTGTGACGGGGAATGGCCGTGGCTGCTGCAGTGTGAGCAACACCCTCCTCCTGCCTGGCATTTGGCTTTAGAGCTTCAGCCATTCCTCCTCTGGCCGGGTGTCCTGTGGCCCTGTGGCATGTCCTAGTCCATGCAGTGCTTGCAGTCATAGTCCAAGTCTGTGGATGCGTTCTGCCTTGCACTGCCAGCCCTTAGGAGTGCCCTGCCCTCCATCCTGCAGTTAGGCGGTGTAGATTGTTAAAGAAAATGGTGATGTCATTATTTGAAATTCAAGAAATTTCTACAAAGAGATTTTACAATGGGTTTCATGTTAAATATCTGATCTCGTCAGATGCTTCCACAAGGGCTCTAGGTTTTATAGGTCAATGTGGGGATTTTTCCTATTTCTTTTTCCTTTTTTAAATTTTTCTTTCTTCTTCTTCTTCTTTTTTTTTTTGGTGGGGGGAGAAACATGTTAACCCCTCTAATTTGTTCAGCAAAAAAAGAAGTAGGGTTTCAAAAGGAGAATTTACGAAACAGCAGAAACAGGGTGATTTATTGCATCACAACCTAATCGAGCTGCCACTGAAGACAAAACTGCTCTCAGATCTCACCATTTGACATGTACATCAGGTTATGAGTTCTACTCTAAGTATGGTGACAGGTGACAGAAAACTCTACCAGAAATGTACTTTTGGGGACCCTCTATGCAAATTCTGATATTGCATTTGATTTTTTGGTTTTTCTTATTTGAAGCTTCATTTTGTTTTCTAATTATGAAAGGGTAATTATGAAAAGACACCTGCTATGCATACCAAAAAAAAAAAGAAAAGAAAATTAGTATATTTTTCAAATGCATCTTTTTCCATGTCATTTATTCCACTATGCTTAAATTTGTCTGGTGAGATCCTCCAGTGCCTTCCCTCCTGTGTATGTGGGTTCAGTTTAAGCACCTTCCAGGGGGTGCCATGTGCTATTTGTTTTTCATTCACTTTGAAAGAGGCAACCAAATGTGAGGTATTTCAATCTAATAAGAGACAGAAAGGGAAGGCATTTGTCTCTATTCTAATATTCAGTCATTCTTGTTGCCTCTTTCAATGGAGTGTCCTTCAGTGCTTGCTCTCTGTTTGCAAATTTCTTTGTGCTTTAAAGTGAGAGCATCCAAGACGGTCAAGGAGAGGGCTGGGGGTTCACCCGTACAGCACACAAAATCAAAGTTTTATTTCATCAGGTGTGCCCCCAGCCCTTCTCCCCTCTAAAAGGAAAACTATTCGATATTCAGTAAGTTTGGGAAACACTGCGTTCAACAAAATCAGCAAGTTTCTTTACCATAAGGCATTTGGGAGCCTTTATTTTGCCAATAACAGCAACAACTAGTTTCTTGTCCTGAGCATCATGCTAAATGCTTTATGCACATTACTTCATCCTCACAACAACCCCATGTGCTGGATACTGCTATTTTCCCCATTTTACAGATGGGAAAACTAAGGCTCAGAGACATCAAGTAATTCGCCCAAATTTACAGAGCTGAAGGTGATAGACTTGGGATTCACACTCAGGTGTGTCTGATCCTGAGCCTGTGTTCTTAACTGCTGTGCTTTCCAGGAACTCTTGTAAGATCTGATCACAAAATATCCCAAACTTATTTGGCCACTGACACCCACCTATCCTGCATGCACAGTGTCATCAACAAGATCACCAAAATCTTCCTCAAAATGTACTCCTCTGTTCTCCTCTCTCTAATCCTAGAGGGTAAGAGCACTCACCTCCATCTCTCTATTGCTTTTTCAGGTCTTCTGGGGGATACAGGCTCCTTACCTGTAAAGATAAAAAGGGCCCCTATGGAAAGCTTTTAGACCGCAAGCCCAAAGAAGCTTCCTTTCCTTTGTAAAAGAGGGGTGTGCTTCTGTTGTTTTCTGTGTTGCTCTCTCCTAGGCCAGGCTCTCAGTCTCCTGAAAGAAATACCCACTTCCCTCCCTCCGGTGACGGACCACATTGCTCTCCGCACAGTAAACACCTTCAATCTTCATTGAAGGTGGGGAGGGCAGGGTGGCTCTGTTATTCACCTGTTCCCTCCATCACCTTTCCCTAGGCTCTGGGAGATATTTGTTAAATTGAATTGACCATTAATCTAATGAAGAAGAGAGGAGTTTGGGTTTTCTTTCGGGAATCTTTGAGAGTTTCCTTGTTATTTTAATGTGTAGTTTCCATTCCTTATTTGAAATTATTTTAAAATGTTACTGGTAAGGACTACTGATTCTTAATAATTGAGCTGGCTTAAAAAGCTATACTTTGCTGATGATATTAAAGGATTGGATTTCCATGTGGATGATTGAACTGGCCAATGAAATTCATGAATAAATTAAACTTTCACCGTTATCTTCTTAAGTCCTAGTTTATTTGCTGCTAAATCTTTTATTGACGGAATAGACAGAAACTGTCAGAAATGTAAATTTAGGGTTGAAACAATAGGATATGGCCTCATGTTTTAAAGATTATCAATGCTCCTCATTACCTGCTTTTCATAAAACTTAGCCTGATGGGACTAATTTTTCCTGTACTTCTCAAACTATATTTAATAGGGTACCCTTATCCTCACTTTTTAAATTTCATTCACAGCAAGCAAAGTGACTGTCACTGACCAAGTATACACAGTACTTATAGCCTTGTGAATCAGAAGAGTTACCTGCTGTTGAAAACAGTTGGAAGTTAAGAATTCCTCCAAGAACTTTGATTTCCTTATGGCAAAATGTTATAAATACCTACTTTGGCCAGAACGTTGTTTAATTGGAACGCAGACGCAGATTCTTGGCAAAGGCTGTCTCTTCTCCCATGTAGATTGTGTGCCAGGGGACAGGAGGTAAAAAGAGTTTTAATGGCCTGCAGCAAGTTTTGAGGCCATCGAAAGAGAGGAGTTAGTAAAGAAAGAATGTTCAGTATAATATTTTCCAAATTGGGAAACTAAAGCAATATTAAAAGATGTTACGCACAAACACATACATATATTCATAAACAAATAAGGTTGAGCTACCTGGAACTGAATTAATCAAATACATTTTCTAGCTACAAGTTTTTTAGACCAGTGATGTCCGATACAGGAGTTGCTAGCCACATATGGGTATTTTAATTTTAATTAAAGTCAGTTATTTAAATACAGTAGCCACAATTCAGGTGCTCAATGGCCACATGTGGCCAGTGGCTATCTTATTAGACAGTACTGTTCTAGAACATTTTCATTATTGCAGAAAGCTTTACTGGATGGGGCTGTGTTAGGGCTTTTAATGTGCTGGTCATCAAAAAAAGAAACATAGTATATAATCATTTGCATAAATATTGAATAATGTTTTCATAGAAATGGTATAATTGTGTTCTAAGAAACATAATTTGGGAAAGATTGTCCAGTTTTCCCTACAACATCACGTTGTATTAGTCTCATCTTTTTTTAAAAAAAAAAAAAAAGATGACCGGTAAGGGGATCTCAACCCTTGGCTTGGTGTTGTCAGCACCACGTTCAGCCAGTGAGCAAACCGGCCATCCCTATATAGGATCCGAACCCGTGGCCTTGGTGTTATCAGCACCGCACTCTACCGAGTGAGCCACGGGCCGGCCTGTATTAGTCTCATCTTGCAGATAAGGAAACTGAAGCTCAAAGAGGTAACTTGGCCATGGTCACAAAGCTAATAAGTAGCAGAGCCAGGATCTGCCCCAGATCTGTTGGATTCCACGGCCTGTACCTTTACCATTTCTCCCCAGCTGCCTCCACGGCCCCCATAACCCCCACCCCCATGGGATATTGAATTTTTGAATATTCCACCTGCCTGATGCCAATTCCTTAGTACTTTCCCGAGCATTACCAAAAGAGGTTTTTAAAATTTCTTTTCTAGAACATATAGGAAAAAGATAAATAAATGACCTCTTCACGGGATTAATTAAGAAGACTATTTCTTGGAAGTAGACCCATGAGTAGACATTTTGGACCATTTCTATGGCATGGTTTTCCCAAAGCTGAATAGAACCTCTCCCCTCACCCCCACAAAAAAATGCCTCATGAAATTTCCTGACAAAGACATCGCTGTTGTAAAGTTTATTTCCCATCTCTGTGCTGTTACTTGTGTCTTCTGAAGACATCCTGGGTGTAAAACTACTAACGTAATAGTCAAAAGAAAACTTTGTAGTGGGGCCTGTCAAAACATGCCCTGTTTTGTTCTTTTCTTTAGAAGAGAAGATTAGCCAAAGACTGGGAACAGTTATATTGAGAGAGATGTGTGTAAGCCAAACATGCAAAAATAAGAGCAGACTTTCTGCAAAATGTGGGGCTCCATAGACTATTTAAAGCTACAAGAAATTGCAGTTAAGAGCTTGGAGTTTGGAGTTACATCCACCATTTGAGCAGTGTGATCTTAGACAAATTACTGAATATCTCCGACCTTCAGTTTTCATTGAGATACTATACCTACTTCCAAAACTTATCAGAGGGATAATACATGTAAAATGCCTAGCACAGACCCTGTGGCCCAATAAATAAAAAGTAAGAATACAGTAAATAGCAGCAGTGGAGGCAGGTGAAGTGAGGGAGGGAGAGATGGTAATAATTAGAAGGGTTTCACACTAATGTGATTACACTTAGAATAACCAGCACAGAGAAACACACTCAACATTTCACATTGTTTAAATAAGAGAATCAAGGTATACACCAGGGACGCTCCTAAGATGAGAGCAGATTCTTAAATGGTAAGTTTTGCTGTTCAACTTCAAAGCTCTTTGAGAATCTGAAAATCTGGAGACTGAGATGCTGGTCTAGGACTCTTCTATGACCACAATTTTGTGATATGTTGGGGGAGGTTGCAGGGGGAATGGGGTCTGGGGTAGAATGTGGGTACTTTCCTAGACCAGGATTTCTTAGAATTTTCTTGAGATAATTTGGTAACCTGTGCTTCTAACTAAAGTGACAAAAGCTTTGGGAGTAGTTGGAACTTTTCTGAACACGAACTGTTTCAATATCAATTTGACTTAAAGTTTTTAGCCAAGTAGTTTTCCAATGTATTCCAGACATATGACTAAAGGTAGGCCCCTGATTCCTGAGACCCCACCGGTGTGCTGATTGGTGTGCATGCTGGCCTCTGTGTGTCTTCAGTGTTTCACATGCTTGTCATTGACAGCCAGAAAAGTAAATCCACGTTTCTTTCAAAGATCATCACAAAAACCATCATGGGCAAACTCTATGTTGACTGATTCCTAAGCAGCCTCCTTCACAAAATAAAGTCCTCTAAATTCAATGTGTTTCTGTTATTAAGATCACATAAATACAAAGTACTCATGCAACATCTAATTTATTTTCTTGTATTTTGTCCTTTGCTTACCATCAAGTGTTTGGGTACATTGATAAAATTAGCACTCATTTTGATACAAAGTCAAAAATATAATTCTCTTATTCATATTTTAAAAAGAAAAATCTAATGTGGAAAAATAATTCATCTTCCTTCAAGTTCTAACCTCCCTTTTCACCTTGTACATAAATTCTGACTATATGCCAAAAGCACGAGAATTTATCATGAGCTTGGTGCGTTCGTGAACGAAATGGAAGGCACTTGCCACCCAGTCTTAAGAATTTACCTTCTGACACAGAGTAATAAAAGGATTTACCTTTCACTGTTGTCACATGACAACAAAAGGCAGTGAGCTTCAGCTTTTGCCATCAACCATAGTTCAACTTAGGATTTTTTTTTCTTTACTGAAAAAAGAAAAAAAGAAAAAAAAAATGCTGCGCGTGTTTAGCATAGTAAGTGCCAAGGTGGGAAAAAAGTGTCTGGAACTGGCAATGCATTGTGATGAGAGCGCTTTGGCCACCTGTGTTTCCAGCCATTTTTAATACCAGCTTGTTTTTCAGGTGCATCATCCCCTGCTCGACCAGCCACTCCTTTGGTTCCTCGCCGCAGTACTACTCCACCTCCACCTCCTCCCAGGCCTCCATCCCGGCCAAAGCTACCACCAGGAAAGCCTGGAGTCGGAGATGTGGTATGTTCCCCTGTGCCCTGACTTGCTCAGAAACAGATGGTGAGAATGACAGACAAGCTCAAAATGCCTTAACACAGGACATATCACTTCAGTCTAAGCATTAGAACACTTGTATAGACTCCCCTTACAGGTGGCATCTGAAAGACGGTCACTGCGGTGTGGTTGTATATTTCAACCCTCCTCGAATCTCTACCATCTTTCAAGCCAAGTTGAAATGATTGGGATAGGATGCCTGGGCCCTCAGCTCTGCTACAGTGGTTGGATACAAGTGAAGAAAGTAATGTGCAGTTGTGCTAAATCCTTTAGAAAGAAAGGTGTTTCCTTTCACAATATTTGATTGTGGAAAACTCCAAGAGAGGGCAAGTCCTGATTTCTGACCCCAGAATACAGATAGGTTATTGGTGATAGGCACACTATGTGAATATAAAGAGTGATAGCCTGATGAGTTGTTACAGAAGTTTCTTGCATTGTGTTTTAAGGCTGAGGAGTGGAAAAGATTCTGTGTGAACAATTAAGAGACTTGTTTCAGAGGTAAATTTTTTTGGCAACTGCACACAGGAGTCACAACTGATAATGTCCATATTATTTGGCTTGGCTGCACAGTAAAGTATTTTGTACTTAGATGTCTTTGGATGAGTATGAGCTTTCACATTGTGTTACCTTCTTAGTCCCCGAGGGCATTTGAGCACATAGTCCTGAAATAGACCTGTTGACCATGTCACAAATCCCAGGTTCTCTAAGTCTAATGTTCTTATTGAGTTTAGCATTTTATGGCTTGCGGTTTCTCCAGCTCCACTCCATAAGCTCCTGTATATAGATACAATCAATTTCGGTGTAAAAAAAGTGTCATCTGTACTCCTTTAAGAAGCTGATTTGTCAAATCCAGGGCTGAGAGACATTAAAATTATGGGGAAAAAATACTACCACTTGTGTATCTAACTTTTCATCTCTTTTCTTCTCCCTACAGTCCAGACCTTTTAGCCCTCCCATACATTCTTCCAGCCCTCCTCCGATAGCACCCTTAGCCCGGGCTGAAAGCACTTCTTCAATATCGTCAACCAATTCCTTGAGTGCAGCTACCACTCCCACAGTTGGTAAAAATTATCTCCTCTCTTTTAATCCATTTGTGGTTTTGACTGGCTATTTTTTATGATCTGTAATCCCCAAGGCCCTGTGTTTCTGGTCGAAATTATTTTGCTGTGTGTTTGCTACTATCACTTGATTCTTCTTTTAAAAGCACCTTTTCAGCAAAAGAGGCAAAGTGCTATATACCTAAGCAAATAAACAAATGAAAGAACATGAACACCTGTGTTTTGCAGGAATTCTTTTTTATGCTACTCCATACAGAGCTATTTGGAAAAGTAAAGAAGAAATCATCGAGGAAGGTCCTGTAATTTAAATATTATTTCTTATAATAAAAACAGTCTCATTTTAGGGGAAATGTTTCTTTAAAGTCCAACCGTGTACCACTTCAGAAGTCGCAAAATTTAGAACTTTGGTTTTCTTGGAGCTTTCATTTCTTCATCATTTTTTGGTTGTCCTTATGTTGACAAATGGTATAAACATTGGCACTGTGGGACTTGAGCAAACTCTTTGACATTTTTTCTAGTGCTGTTGAGTTGTGCGTGGTCAATTTTCCCAGAGAAATAAGCCATTGCGGGCATTTTCAGTAAATGCCTTTGTGCCTCCTCCCTTGCGCTGTGATGAAAAGTGAAGAGTTGAGAGTGGCTACTCAGCTGATGGTTTTCCCAGGTTTAAATGCCTCATTTTGCCTGGAGTGTCTTCCCTCTTCTCAAGGCTGGTCTCTTTTCCCACCTCTCATAAGCTCCTGCTGCCTCTCCCATCATAGCATGGTGTCTCTGACCTGGGCTTTCCCATTCCATTTTTCCCCTGCAGCCCCCTTTCCTCATTGTCTTCCTTTATTGTCTGAACAACCCTCCAATTCTTCCATATTATAAACCAACGATTCCATCCTGCTTGCTTGGGAGAATCATTAACCAAAACTAAATAAATTCCTGCTGCTACATATGGAAGAGCACACTGCAGAGTTGCCCATGTGAGAAGTAACTTCATCAAAGCCCAAAGCTCTTCTGGAGAAGAAATGCCCATTTTCCCAGGAAAATAAGTTAAAAGTGTGCCTCTTATGGCCCCTTAAGGGAATTTTATCTATATCACACACTCTATATTTTTAATAACACCATCGCAAAAGAACCCTTCAAATTTGGTGAAAATATATAGCCAGTTATCCAATTTTGTGTGATTGATTAACACACAGATATTTAACATTATTAATACAGCCAAGTCTACTTCTTGTCTGCATCGTCAGTGGGGACAAGTTGGGGCTTCCCATCTTTTAATGCCTATTAGCTCATCTCTATCTGTTTTGTTTTGCTTTGTAACATCCCAACTTTATTTTTTCAATTATTTCTTTAATACTCCTTGATTGTTACAGCCATTCCCCTCACTCCTGCTCTTGTTTTTTGTTTTGTTTTTTCCTCAAAATTATTTGTTCCAGTCACTCCGTGTGATTTGCCTTGTTGGTCAGAGAGGAAAGTAAGAGTGAACTGTCACTCAGAAAGTGGACCCCAAGTCACCTCAGATGAACCATCTAATATGTTCTTAAACCTCACTGTGATTCATAGAGAAAATTGCACATGCAGGGAATTTGAACTATGTCCATGTTTTGTACAATGAGTTTCTATACTCCCTGCTGCAGCCATCTCCAATCCTGGCCAGCAACTTTGATTCCTAACACATCGAGTATGTGTTCTTTCAAGATGAAACCCAGAGGAGTTAAAAAAAAAAAAAAAAAGAAGCCACATAAGAGGATAGTCCCATTGCTTCATTGCAGAGGAGCATACTAATTTAGTCTGTTTGGTTCTGTTATTTTTATCTGGTTTTCATCTTCTAGCTGAATTCCTCACCTTCCTGTTTTTTATTTCCTCCTCCTGTGGGTCACCTCACAGCCACTTTCCTCTGAAGTAAATCCACTGTCAAATGACTGACTCTTTTTCTGGAGAAGATCTGCTTTGGGCTGTTCAACACCAAGGGACCTAACCATGACTGACTTGGAACACCAACTTAATGTAGTCAAATGGCTTGGAGGAGATAGAGAATTTAGCAGCAAACTCCCTGAAGTTGATGGCTTGACATTTCTCTCCCACCACCACAATACTTTTTTGACATATCCATGGCACTTACAGCATAGTGAGAACCAATAAGCCAAATTTAAAGCAGCTCAAGAACTAAATTTTTAAGAGCGTGTAATAACTTTCTACACAACAATTCCCATAAGAAAATAACCTTAATGGACTTTGGGTATGAAATTTTTCATGATAGTTGTGATTATAAATTAGTAAATCTCATGCCGCACCTGAAAACAGGACTTTCTGTATATTGTCACACTCAAATAATGAAAAGCTCCTACACAAATGTATGTTATTGAATTAAACACGACTTCAATTAAAAAATGCACTATTATTTTATACATGACTAAGAAAGGGGAAAAGCTGCCAATTGAGCCAAGAAACAACACTTTCTCATCACATTAATTAAAAAACCCATTCCAATTTTAGACAGGTTAGAATGTGGAAAATTTCACGTCTTAGAATTAATGAAATACAGTTAAACTACTTTTGCACTAGAAAACTCACAGGACCTACACTATATGATTTCGGGGAAAATCCTATTAATTTTATGGGGGTAGAGAAAATGTTTAAAGGTATTCTATTACAAGAAACAAACTCCTAAGCATTTCAAGATAAAGAGATAACATTTAGAGATAATGGGAGTTATAATATCCATATTCATTACTTGTTTATTTCTATGGTTGTAGTAGTTTTTTTAGATGTTTGCAAAGTCTTCCTTGGAACCACATTGCAAAAAGATCACCATAAAGACAATTTTTCTTCACTGTCAATTGTATTTCTTCATTGGTAATTATGCATCTTAAATTGCACCTTTAACATCCCAGGAATCTGTAATGAATAAAAAGTAATTATTTATGGGCATCCAAGGGAGCATCAGATGGATTTTGATGCTCTCTTTGTTCCAGAACTTTGAGCAAAAATGATTTGTACTCAGTAATGAAACCATAGCATCTAAAATGTAAAATATTGCCTCTAAGACTTTGTCTCTCCAAGCTGGATAGCAATTATAAATTCTATAAGCTTTCTAAGAAAATACTGGTATTAGTGCCAATTATTCTGCACCCAAAAAAGGAGACCTTTGAAGGTGAATATTCCATATCCCAAGAAAAAAATTTCCACCTTTTTTTTAGTCCTTTTTTTTCCCCTCATGCTATTTTGTTGGAAGGCCGTTTCCTATACTCTCACAGATATTACAGGAGTCACATTAACTTGTTCTAGCCACCTAGAAAGCCACATGTTGTAATAAAAACTGTGATTGACAGGCGATATTCTAGAACCTTAAGAACTGACAAAAAAAGTAGTTTCCCTGCCTTACTCCTCTAGTCTAGGAGGCAAGTGTATAGAATATTTTCCAAGGAATATTATTGTTAATGGAATATCTTTCCTACCCTCATCCATTTTCTTATCTTGTCTTCATTATAGATACAACTCTCCCTTCCTGGTCTTTGTACATATTTTATTCAATTTTCTATTAAAGTTATAATAATGCCTTTAAGACTTGTGGCATTAATACTTTTTATTTTAATCACATAAAGTAAAAACCCTAATTACTTGCATTTGTTAGTTGGTGAGAAAACAGACTGTGTAAAAAGCTGAAATGGTCCAGAGCATCAATTTATGATATTGTGACCAATTTACAAAGACATTTAGCCACAGCTGGATACCATAGCCAAAGAAGGAATTATGATAATGCTTTTCAAAAGTAACAGTCCATAACTACCAAAGGCAGGTGCCAGGCAAATTGAATTTGGATATTGATGAGGGCGGAATGAGATAGTTCGTGCAGGGACCTTGGATTTACACTGTTGCTTTTTTATGGTCCCATTAAAAGCTTCTTCTTTCCCCGTGGGGGAAGGTGCATGCTGGGTGATCCTGTTGAGCTGTCAAGGCTCTGTCAGGAGGTTCTTGTTGATGGACATATGTCTGGCCACTTGAGAACTGTGTTGGAATGAAATACACTTGCCTAAGTCAATTATTAATGATAGTGCCTTCAACAACTCCCTGAGAAGGTGGGGAGTGACTTCTTCCCTGGAGCTGACTTTAGCCAAATTCACAGCTGCTAAAACCTGGCATTTTTTAAAATTTTAATTTCTTCTCATAGAATATCATTAAATAAGCACATCCCTTTTTAATATCCTAATCATAATCCCAGTGTCTTAAGTTTTGTTACTTTTTTCCATTAAAATCATTCCTGTGTTTCAGTCAGTAAATTGTGTTGCTGGATTTCATTTGGGATTTGTATTTGTGTTTTTGTTTTCCATTCGTTTATGTTTCTTTGGTTTGTAGTGTCAGAAGATGATGTTTTTTATGACAAACTGCCCTCGTTTGAAAGGCGCTGTGAAACGCCTGCAGGTATGGTGCTAGCCAAGTGATCTCTAGATATCTAGATTTTAAAATTCCAAGCCATTATCCATCTGAATGCTGTAAACTTCATGGACATGCTCCTCACCTCATGAGTGTCCAGTGCCTCTCAGATGCACCCTGTATATTTACTATCCATTGTGGAACTCATGCCACTGAAATTTTTTTGTTAACTTATTAAAAAAAAAGCAGCAGGTTGCATGACAGTTTCTCAGTGAAAAGATTTGAAAGAGGTGAGATGCTATTACTATGTGAATTTTCAAAGGAAGGAATAATTTAGCTGCTCAGAATTGTATGTCCGATGACTGCTTTTTAATTTGAAAAATAATAGAGCACCATTAGTAATCTTGTTTTCTCTTTGGTATATAGGTAAAGGGTGTTTTGTGTCTGGATGTCTAAGGTGATTCCAGGGGAGGGGACGAAAGATATATGACATCTTCCACGAACTTGAAATTGATATGCAATGCTGTTGTTATTTAAAACCTAAGCTAATGTTTTATACAGCCCATAACTCCGAGTTTATCTTTTTGGAAACATAGAAGGGGATGACATTGAAGATGGAATGGATACAGCAATTGCTGAATGACAGTTGCCCAAATTAGTGCAGTTAAAATATGCTGATGCCCTGCATGGCCAGGAAGACTTTTGCTCCATACACACAAGCACCAAGTATCAAGCTACCAGCAACACATGCCCATCCCTTTAGGCTTCCATAGCTTTGCTTTTGCTTTCTGTCTCCTGAACTAAAAAACAAAAACATAGATTGCCAGCCTTCCCTTTTTCCTGCACGCTAATGGCATGCAGTGCCTCCTCCCTTCCCCATAGTGAGAGTTAATGTCCTGCTCTGTAACTCACATTGTGTCCTTCTCTCTCCCTCTCCCTAACCTTTCCCATCCCGCTTCAACTCCTGGCCATACAGAGAATGAACAGCCTTCCCTCGTTTGGTTTGACAGAGGAAAGTTTTATTTGACTTTTGAAGGTAAGTAGTACATAGCATACCAGATTCTAATTTATACTCCCCTCATTCTTTATTTCTCCATCTGCATTTCGAAATCCCAGTTCCCTTCAAAAGTTCTGGTCTCATTTCTGTATAAAAAATGCTATGGCTACTTAGAAAACATTAAATACTAAAGAAAATATTAAATGAATTTGGTTTGTATGTGATCTTCAATTTTTCATATTGAAAAATTATAGCTAATTTGCAGTTAATATTGGTTACTGAATTAACTGTGGTCAATTGAGCAAAACAAAACAAAACACACCTTTTTTGGCCAAGGAACTTAACTCTGTCAACCAGGGCTCTTCCCTAACTCTTGCAAATGTGACAAATATAAGGACATTTTTGGTTGATATTGGCATTTAACCTTGTTTTGGATTATTAATATTTGGGATACAACATCTATTATTGTCTAATGTAATTATGTATATATATATTATGACAAGAAATGTTGAATAGGAGATCAGGAAAATGGGGGGTGGGGGAGGGAAGGAGTATTTTAGTAAGTTCAACTTGAATCTCCTGAAATTGCATTTGGAATGCCTGCTGTGAACTGGGCAACTATTGATGGAGTTGTCATTTTAGAAGATTAAGGGAAATGTACATAAATATAATGTCAACTATCTAACCTCAATGTTTGATAATCTTTCATATTCTGCATTAAGGATTAACATTCTTCTGTTTTATTTTAAATTCTAAATCATCTCAACAGCCCAGGCATTTGATAAAAACTAATGGTGGGGAAAAATAAAGTAATTTAACTTAATTAATAGGCCAACTTACAAATAAAGATTTATCACATAAGCCACTATTTTCTAGGATTTTAAACAGCTAAATTTATCCTGGGATCAAAGTTGACCAAAAATACTCTACTGTAGAATTGAATATTGAACTTGTTATCATGTTTCATGACAACAGAAAGAATTTTCCTAACTTGGATGTGTGTTTTAATGCATTTTTTGAAATCAGAATGGCTGATATATATAGTTTGTATGGTTGTGGCTTATTTCTCTCAACAGCGAATTTTGCTTGCAAGATGGTCCTATAAGAGGAAGTCCTTAGTTTGGAATAGCTTGGAAAGCAGCAGAAAAGAGAGACAATATAGAAAGTCAGACCAATTTCAGACTTTCCAAATATCCTGATGTGTTGTCCTCGCTTGGGTCGAGCACAGGTGGATAGGCAGTCTTCAGGAGAGGATGTATATTTTCTACATGACGTCAAAGCCTTCATTGCCTCAGGTCATTAATTTTGTAATAACCAAGATGCAAAGTGCTCCAACATGCGACCTTCTAAACTCTCCCTTTGAATCAGATGAAATTAAAAAATGCCCGGGTATATTTGTATTGATCAGCACATCTCAAAAGAAGCAGCTACAGCTGAATATGTTGCTGATCCTGAAGTATAGCAAATACCTGTACATGTATAGGCCCTTTTTCTAGTTCGGTCCAGCCACAGCAGAGGCTGTTGCTTACTCCGTTTTAACCAGGAAATTATGTAGTGCACTATGGCAATCTTCAAATAATTGGGGCTCCACAAAAACCATGCTCACCGTTGTCTTTTTGTTGTTGCTGTTGGTTTTGGCTTTAGAGTATGTGTTATCTCGGTTTCTTCTGTTTTAGAGTGGATCTCTTTTCACAAACAGAGGTAGACCATTTTGGAAGATACCAATCTAAACACATTTTGATTGTTAGTCTGTTTTTAAGACATATATTATTGATTGGATGTAAGTATTTAATAAATGTGTGGAATAACATATATTTTATGAAAATACATTTGTTTAGTAGATTTCTGGGTATCTAGAGTTGGTAACATTGCCATTCTAATTAGTAAGAGCCCAAATTTATTAAGCATGTCAATTTGGGCCAAGAGAAATCATGCAAAAAATAGTCTTAAGAGAAATTAATTGGAAGCTGTAGTACTGTATTATGTCCGTCGTGGACTTTGTTCAAGTTTGGGGAGTCTAGATGAGGCTTCCTGAGAGGCTATGTGAACAGCCTTATCATGAATGTGCGTGTCCCTGCTTATCTCACTAAGAAATGCTTACACAGATAAAAGCATATCAAAATGCACTTCAAGGGAAGCCTAAAAATGACACCTTGCCACCTGAGCAAGAATGACTGTTTTAAAAATGGAGGTTTATTTTCATCATTTACACGTTGGTCTTAGGCATTTTTAGCTAGTGCATCCTAGGAGGATTTTTAAATTTTCTACTGTGATGATAAAATGACATAGAAATGGTGACATTTTAAATTACCTTTAGAATAGTGTCCCCACCTAAATTTTTGTACAGTAGTCCCCTCTTATCCTCAGTTTTGCTTTTCATGGTTTCAGTTATTGGCAGTACAGTATAATTATTTTGAGAGAAAGAGTGAGAAAGAGACCACATTTTATTACAGTATATTGTTATAATTGTTTTATTTTATTATTAATTGTTAATCTCTCTCTCACTGTGTCTAATTTATAAATTAAACTTTATCATAGGCCTGTATATATAGGAAAGAACATAATATTCATAGGGTTTGGTACTCTCCGAGGTTTCAGTCATCCACTGGGGGTCTTGGAATGTATCCCCTACAGATAAGGGGAGACGACTGCACTCCAAAAAGACTGTCATTTAACATGTTTTTGACTGGCCAGTTGGCTCAGTTGCTTAGAGTCTGATGCTGATAACACCAAGGTCCAGGGTTTGTTCAATCCCTGGACCAGCCAGCTGCCAGAAACAAACAAAACAATATGTTTCATTGAGTAATAAGCACTTTAACATATTCTTCTAGGCTACTCTGGTTTTATCGTCATTTGTTATTATTTATATTAATTATCATTATCTCCAGTTCTTAATTCAGAGAATGTAGAAGATGAAGAAAGATTCCTATGTCAAAATAGTCACCTGTTGTAAACAGATTTTCTATTATTATTTATTAACTTCTAAGGAGTGAGTGTTTTTATAGGGCTCACAACCTCAGGCTGCCTTAGTCATTGTTCTGTTCTTACAGTGCTTTAGACATTATAATCTTTCAGTCATTGTTTGAGCCACTGACCAACCGATCAACTAACTAATATTAAGTAACACTGGCTTATGAGTTTATTTGGAGATGACATGAGGTGCTTCACACTTCCACCATTAACTTAACAAGAGAGGTAGAAAAGAGTTAGACAGTGGTCCTAACTCACAGAGTACCAAAGCCTTTCTGAATATTTCACTATTATAAACAATTTTACTGAAATCTTAATAAAGTATTTATTTTAAGTTAAGCTAAAAAAAGAAAAGGTGAAGATTACAAATGGTAATGACATTTTAAATTCATCCAAGAGTGTATCCTATTGAAGCTATCGAGTATGCTTAGGTGGGAAGGAAAGATATTTCCATAACATATGGAAGATGTTGGATATTTGAAAAATTCCCTAGAGCATTTTAACATCAAGATGTTTCCTGACATGTTCTGTCTCTCTCTTTGCTTAGCTTTTTTTATCTACAAACTCATCTTGCTTGTGGTGATAGGAAAAACAAAACAAAACGCCTGTGACCATGAGTTCTTGAGTGTCCTAGTGTCTGAATATCGTCTCTGTCATGTGTTCATGCTGCCCCTCACCTCGTACACTCATCTCCAGGCTGCTCTGTGCTCTGTTTGTTGCTCTTCCTCCCCCAATTCCCATGGGGAATGTCCCAGCCCTAGCAGCACCCTTCTCTACATGTTCAGTCTCTCTGCTGAACTCACCCACCCATGTCCCAGCTCTCCTCAGGGGACAGCTTGGCTGCTGTTGCTTTTCTATAGTTGTAAATTAGTTGATTTGTGGAAGAAAGTGACACTGGGGACCATCTATTCTGCCATCATGACTAGATTCCCGACACACAGTTGTTTCTAAATGTGTCTCTCACTCAAATGAAAATGAACACAGTCCAACAGGTTTAAAATACATAAATGTTGGCCAGCCTTTGCTTTGCTCAAGATTGAAGACTTTCACTCCACAGAGATGAACCCTGAGTCTGAGGCAC